ACTCAAACAGGTCGCCTGAACGGAAGAGGTGGTATATTAAGGGGCGTACTCGAAAAGGTGACCTGAACTGAAGCCGTGGTATATTGAGGGGCGTACTAGAACATGTGGACTGAACAGTAGAGTTGGTGTATTGAGGGGCGTATACTGGAACATTTGACCTCTACAGAAGTTCGCTCAGAATATTCATCTTGGATCCAGACGCCATAAAGAAATACAAAAACTGTGAGTGAAGAAGACTGTCGTATTATGGTTCAGGGAGCAGCTGACTTTACGAACAAGGCCTTCAAGAAAAACTACACATCAAAGAATATAATGCCCTGATATCGGGAAAACTTTCCATCAAAACTGATATCGTAACCGAAGTCGTCCCTGTTGAGTGGAGATGAGGACGTGCCGGATCTCCGCAGTCGTAACGCCTGCACGGAAATGACATAATAGACAGTGTGTTCCTTGGAATAATTACAACTTTTACCAGGAATCTCACAAATACAAGTCTGTAATCATTTACCTGAAATAATGGAATTACAGACACGGGGACGAAGCAATGACAAATCGAAGAACAGAAATTCTATGCTATAAAATAAGTTATATTTCAATATTACTTGAACCTCTCTCATCAATGGGGAACAAACGCCAATATCATTTAAGAAATAGTAACTTTTATAGCTTGCCAAATGTGAAAGACGGCGGAAGTATAAATAAACACAAATAAACATCACTATATGGGTTATATATACACCTGATGTACGTACTGTCTAACAATGAGTTACCTATAAACCTACACTTGAGGTCCGTGTGGTTTTGTGGTCTTAACAGGGGATATATTTGTAGCGAAATATGTACATTTCAGCCTGATATAGAAAAATTCCGAGGCTTGCCGAGGATTTTGCCACTTTTATCAACTCGTGTTGATATATTTGATATCAAAAGACACGAGGGTGAGATTTTATTTATCATCCAACATCATTCTTCCAACTTTTTCAATTTGTAGACAGTAATTAGCAGTGTTTTCAGTATAAAAAGTACTGCTAACAGCTTCAGTAGCAGAGCCATTAGTGATGTCATTTGATTGTGACGTCATGGTAACCGGTGACGTCACAATGGTCTGCAAAGCATTGTGATGTTATTTCATTGCAGCGATAGATGTGGGAGCCAGTTTTGGATGATAAAATACATTCACCACCCGAACGAAGTTGTTTTTTTTCTCAGAAAGGAAGCGGTGATTACGAAAACACATAATTGTCGTCTGTTGTGGCCTTACATGCACAAATCGGCGGAGAGTGTCCCGGTTGGCGTTCTTCACCACCTTCTCCGTGTCTCGCTCATTTGCCTTTTTGGTGTCGAAGTTCTCCTGGTTTTGTTTGAATCTTTTCTGGGCGGTCCCTTTCTTCTTTGCATCCTTTGCCTTCTTGCTTTTATGCTTCTCCTTCCGAGTATTTTCTGTCAGTTCAGCTTTGCAAACTCCTAAAGGAAAACTCAGCGTTTACAAGCATTTCTTTCGTGTGCTTTGACGTAAAACGACCATTCGAATAATGATATCACAAAGAAATATATGTGGTTGTGACTGTTTCCTTGAATCATTGATTACATAGCTACAACAGAGGAACGATGGTTAAAACAATTAATACAAATTACCATACACTTGGTCTCCAGTTTGGTCTTTATTCTCAGCCTCAGCTGTATCAAGGTGACCCCCAAGGCTGACTATTTCAAGGTCATCAGACATGGCCTTGAACCCTAAAGGTGACTCTTGTGTCTTCTGACTGGTTCTTCCAATATCAGGAGGGTCACTTTCCATCTCAAGGTCGATTAATACCAGGGACATTTTTTACCTAGAAAGAGTTTCCCAAAACGAATGTGATTAACGAGTGTACGGTTTAATAAGTTATCAACAAAACTAAGGTTTCAAAGATAAACTTTCAGAACTATGAAACAAGATCTGCGAATTTAAGAAAAAAAAATGGTGTTATTTTTGTGGCATTGCGGTTTCGCTTGATTATGTATTTTCGTTATTGCGAGGTGGGGGGCAAGGTGGCTTTATGTATATATACTATTACCCTGCCCAGCACCAGGATCACATAGTACAGCAAACAATATGATAGGCACTGATTACTTAAATGTTCATTAAAATTTTAGGATATTCTCTGTTAGAGTGACTTTCACTTTCTTGGTCAGAAGTTGATCGCGGCTGACACGTGGTCACACGTAGCTCGTGTTCCAACCAACTCCACGTTTTTCAGTGAGCTAACCCTCGACTCTTCTGTGTTCACCATTAGAGATGTATTGTCGGATTGAGAGCATCAAAACCTACCTTTGCTGCAGCAATGTTCGTCACGGTCTAAATGAAGATGAGTTTTTAAAACGCGCCGCTCTGACATCTCTTGCTTGAACAATGACAACGTCGCTATGATACATTATGACGTCATACACAATCAAAATACTATTCCCCTTCAACGATATGTAGTTACTGAGATCTAAAAAGTTTACTTTGATGGTAAGTAAGGAAGCCGCATTTCGAGTAATTATTTTTGAAACAATATTTTACAGATATTTACGGAATCATTCATATTTTATGCGTTTTCAACTGATGTTTTTTCTGAGGCAACGCGAGAACGTCATCATCAGTTTACTTGTTGACAAAAGTGCACAGCACACTACTCTCTTGTCTGAGGTGTGTTTTCAAACCTTCTGATCATTCTAATCAAAACACTGTCAAATAAAAGCATAAAAATAGGACTAATATATGTGAAAGAAGCGTCTTTTAAGCATTTCTCGAAGATGTTGATAACAGAGTGTTCAGCCTTATGAACCGTGGGCGCGTTTGAAACAGACCATCTACTTAGTCGGCTCTTCAAGACAAATAGACGTTCTTACGCACGCCTGTTGAAATATGGACAAGACACGAAAAAAGATTCTGTTATTACAGAAAATATTATTTGCTATAACGAAAATAAATTCGTTATTACGAAAATATATCCACTATGATGGAAAACACAAACAAGATTCGTAATTATGGCTAAAATTGTGTTTTAAAGAAACATGACGGAAATAATTTTGTAAGTACAGAAATATTTCCGGCTGACGGAAACAGGTTCGTTATCATGAAAACAGATGCGTTATATCAAGTTCCTAACGTTACGTCCATCAGGCAGGAGTCTCACATTCACAGACCAATGACAACACACAGATTGCTACTTACACGAATATATAGGGATAGGGTGTTCATGGTCATGGACATTAATCAGGTCATTAACCACTGGTTTGTGTGACAGTGTGTGACATTCATCATGTCATTAACCCCTGGTTTGTGTGACAGTGTGTGACATTCATCAAGTCATTAACCACTGGTTTGTGTGACGGTATGTGACATCCATCAAGTCATTAACCCCTGGTTTGTGTGACAGTGTGTGACATTAATCAGGTCATTAACCACTGGTTTGTGTGACAGTGTAGGACATCCATCAGGTCATTAACCACTGGTTTGTGTGACAGTGTGTGACATTCATGTCATTAACCACTGGTTTGTGTGACGGTGTGTGACATTCATCATGTCATTAATTAACCCCTGGTTTGTGTGACATTGTGGGACAATCATGTCATTAACCCCTGGTTTGTGTGACAGTGTGTGACATTAATCAGGTCATTAACCACTGGTTTGTGTGACAGTGTGACATCCATCAGGTCATTAACCACTGGTTTGTGTGACAGAGTGGGACATTCATCGTGTCATTAACCCCTGGTTTGTGTGATATTCATCATGTCATTAACCCCTGGTTTGAGTGACAGTGTAGGACATTCATCGTGTCATTAACCCCTGGTTTGTGTGACAGTGTGTGACATTCATCATGTCATTAACCACTGGTTTGTGTGGGACATTCATGGTATCATTAACCCCTGGTTTGTGTGGCAATGTGTGACATGAATCAGGTCATTAACCACTGGTTTGTGTGACAGTGTAGGACATCCATCAGGTCATTAACCACTGGTTTGTGTGACAGAGTGGGACATTCATCGTGTCATTAACCCCTGGTTTGTGTGACATTCATCATGTCATTAACCCCTGGTTTGAGTGACAGTGTAGGACATTCATCGTGTCATTAACCCATGGTTTGTGTGACAGTGTGTGACATTCATCATGTCATTAACCACTTGTTTGTGTGGGACATTCATCGTGTCATTAACCCCTGGTTTGTGTGGCAATGTGTGACAGTGTGTGACATTCATCGTGTCATTAACCCCTGGTTTGTGTGACAGTGTGTGACATAATCATGTCATTAACCCCTGGTTTGAGTGACAGTGTGTGACAGTGTAGGACATTCATCGTGTCATTAACCCCTGGTTTGTGTGACAGTGTGTGACATTAATCAGGTCATTAACCACTGGTTTGTGTGACAGTGTGTGACATTCATCATGTCATTAACCCCTGGTTTGTGTGACAGTGTGACATTCATCATGTCATTGACCCCTCATTTGTGGGACAGAGTGTGACATTCATCATGTCATTAACCCCTGGTTTGTGTGACAGTGTGACATTCATCATGTCATTAACCCCTGGTTAGTGTGACAGTGTGTGACATTCATCATGTCATTAACCTCTGGTTTGTGTGGCAATGTGTGACAGTGTGTGACATTCATCATGTCATTAACCCCTGGTTTGAGTGACAGTGTGTGACATTCATCATGTCATTAACCCCTGGCTGGCTTGTGTGGCAGTGTGTGACAGTGTGTGACATTCACCATGTCATTAACCCCTGGTTTGTGTGACAGTTTGGGACATTCATCATGTCATTAACGCCTGGTTTACCCTGCCCGAGACATGATATTTTACAGAAAGCAGTGACACAGCTGACATATTTGATTGCAGCATAAAACTGACAAACAAAAAATACAAGAACATTGTGGCAATTCATAAACGGGGACCAGCTGCATAAATTGGGACCAACTCTACTTGGAAATCCAAATGGTACTCGGCTCCACTGAAATAATCAACAAACGAAGAATTTACAGATTCACTTTATTGCACAATGAAAACAATGTACATACACAATATCAGTCGCAAAAACACCACAGCTCATGTAACATGTACAAAAACAAAACTCTGATCACAAATATCCACCAACTAGGAAGTCAGCATGGTCACTAGTGTCTGATAATGCTCATTAAACAGGATCTCAGTCATCCCCATAAACGGTGGAGCACCAACTAATGATAAAAAATCATAAAATACTTATTTTTGCAATTTGCAAATCTCATCTCCATGATCATAACTTAAATGCATACAAAACAAAACAGATAAATTCTATGAATAATTTATCAACATCTGAATTCCTAGTGCTACTCTAATAGAATGAAGAATAGACAAAACATGTTGCACCAGCCACAGTAACAATAAATACAATCTGTTACAGTCTTTTGGCTTAATGCAGCCAGCATCAAACCACTGAGTTTCTGCTCATCAGGAGCAGTCTCAGCAATATCAAGCTGTAGCAGCTTAACTGTGAAGGACATCCTCAGTAACGCAGGTCATGTCTCACTTGGAAACCCACAAGCATGAAATTACAAGACTGCTCAGAATATTAGCGACTTGGACTTGGACCCGTATGACCCCAGCTATGTTGGGCACTCCATGGAACAGGCAGGTCAGTTTCTCTCTTCCTCAAAGTCAGGTTCTTTCTTGATTTGAATTACAGGAATAGGTGGTTCCCCTTCCGAAGGTGCTGCTATTGTGTCACAGAACCTCTTTTGAAAGTCCATGTCAACAGGTTTATTTGGGCAGGGATTCTCCTCAAAACCATCAGGATTTACCTCAATTTTAGCTGGCAGGTCCTCTTGAAATTTGGATACAGAGCTGGAAGACACATCAACACTGAGCATCTGGGGATTGTCCTCTTGTTGGTGGTCCCCAAGCCCTTCCTCATTAGATTCGTCCTCTTCTTTGGCAATCTTATCCTCATCAAATGCTTCACTACCCTTGGAATCTTCTTTCAATGCTTGTTGGTTTTTAGCTTTCAACATTTCCATCTGTGGAAAGACAGGGATAGATTTGTATCTTGGGGGATTCACTAATAAGGGCCGGGGTACCTCCCCGCCTTTCTTATCCCGGTGTACTTTCATATGAGCATGGAGATTGCCAGCTGTTGTACAGGCCTTGCCACACAGGTGGCACTTGTGAGGACGTTCCCCTGTGTGAATACGAATATGTGTCTTCATAGAACACAAGTCAGCAAAACCTCTGGCACAGTATTCACAAATATAAGGTTTCTCTCCGGTATGAATACGCATGTGTCGTTTGAAATTAGCAGAACTAATAAAACCACGACCACACTGATCACACTGGTATTGCCGTTCGTCCCCATGAGTCTTCATATGGTTCTTGAGATTGTGGAAGTGTTTGAATGTTTTTCCACACTCTGTGCATACAAATGGCCTTTCCTCGCCAGCACATTCTAACCAGGACTGATCTCGGCTTGGGGTGATCCGAGGTCGCCCAGAGCGTGGGAGGTCATCAGTCGACCCTGTTGACTTCAACCTGCGGGCCAAATGGTGGATTGTATTCCGTGACGTTTTCATTATTTTGGAAATATTATACTGAGAGAGGCCTTTATCCAGCATTTTCTTCACTTCCTCCCTCTGTTCTTTGGAGAGTCGAGGCATTGCAAGTCAGTCTCTTTCAACTGGTCTGTGGAGAAAAAGTTGATTTAGTATTTGATCCCTTAGCAAGATCAAAATCAAAATGTCACTATTGTCTTACATTAAGAACTCATGATAAACTATGTTCAGAGTGCAAAGACAAGTCAATTTGGTCCAGTATTGACTCATTGGGCAATGTCCCGTATATATTTGTCTTAATTTTCAGGTTAATTGACTTCAGTATGTGAATGTAGAAAGTTCAATACCAGTAGTACAATAAGAATGTAACTCTGACACCTTCACATGCATCATAAAGTTGAGGATTAGTACAGGGATTTATCGAGACCTGCTTGGATGCCGATATTCAGCAAATGTCATCACAAATTCCCAAAAAGGAATATAAAAATTTCCAATTCATGTTATAACTGATAACAAAGTTTAGGGCTTTGCAGAGCTAACCGGTATTTCACAGATATAAACTGGGCCAATAACGGAGAAGAGGTTTAATGCTATATAGCATGGACATGTTTTCGGAACCCAGATGTTGATTTTATGAAATGTTCTCTGAAAGTGGGCCACTCTCCTACCCAGAGTTCCATGCGGCCGGCAGCCAGCTAGCATAGTACCTCTGCATAGTATCCATTCAAGATATTGCATATGCTTTTCATCCGTTTCATGTTTGACAAGTCTACACATTTTCATAAACAAATGTCAAAGAATGGTTAACTTTCATTGAGAAAGTATGCAAATACGTAAAAATCTACTTGTTTTTGCGTAGTTATCATATGTTTACATTGGTTTACGGCTCCACGTGCTGTCATCGAAGCCCAACGGAGAGCTAGCGACACGGTCACTTTGATGCATAAATATATATTGTCATGCAACTCACTGTCGCAGTTGTAGTAGCATATCTATATAGTTATGCAAAACAATATGTAAAGCGCCCCCAAATACTTGCATTAGTCCGTTCTATACTGATTTCTGAAAAAGCGCGTTTGTTTACAAACAAGAGAAAAGTCTGGTCACGTGATATGCAAATTAGCCTGTGGCAGTGGTGTTATACTGAGTCACCACTGCGACGGAGTGTGAAAGTGGGCTTGATGTGGCAAAGCTGGAAACTAGACTTCGATATATAAGCAAACTGATGCCCTCTCCTCGGGAAGATGCCACAGATGTTGCTTTTAATAAATGCATATCTATCCATGTAAAGACACCACAATAACCTCTGAACTTGTGGGTTGCGTTATTGTGTCCCTGACATAAGTAACCAAGGTGTCACCACTACATCACCGACACTGTTGTGAGCCTTTTTAGGGTCAGACTGTGTCACTGATTGACATGCCAAAATATAGCCACCTCGTGCACATAGTCTACAAGCTTTACAAGCAGACTAGTTGCGGTAAGTCGTGACCCCCCCAAAAGGATTCTTAACTAACCATAGCAGCCAAATTAGGAAAAAAACAATATTTGGTTTAAAATTGGGAATTTCTGTAAAGTTTTTATTTTCCTGAGTTCAAGATATTTTAACATTGCATTTAGCATGTTTAGTATGATGATGTAAAACTAAGCATTAATGCCTCTCCCACCTCATTGGCCCTGTTGTCAGTGATATACAAGTTACCTCTACAAAGCCATAACATTAGTTACCATGGTTACAGGTATAACTATATTGACATGAAATGGAAATTTTTTAATTCAAATTTGGGAATTCTTTCTGACATTTGTTGCAGACTTAGGGCCAAATATTGGCCTTTGACATATATTACCGTATTCGACGTAATAAGTGCCCCGCTCTAAAAAGCGCCCACAGCGATATTTGCTAATATATTGGCTAGTGAACAATCCCAATTAGCACCCATTCCGATTGATCAATATACACAAGACTTATTTATTCGCGTATAATACGCACTCGTGTGCAATATGAACCCTTAATTATGGGCAATTAAATTCTTGACAAATATATCTGTCTTATATAAACATTTCAGGCTGTCAGCATAAACCACGAAATTTATCTTTCAACCATGTTTTTTCCACCAAAATAATATTCTAATAAGAGCCCCCTATTTCTAATTTTGAGAGCGCCCTGGGCCCTTATTACGTCAAATACGGTACTTGTTTTGTTTTCATGATTGTTTTCTACTTTTCTATTACATACATTTTGAAACTGAAATGTACCATATTCCCCTTCCTGATTCTAAAGGTACCAAATGCAAATTACAATTTGTTTTATCATCTGGGTTACACATTCAGCTTCATGACAGTATATAGGTAGATGTATCAATAGGTAGGTGTGCTACAACATTTCTTTGCATCATGTTGATCCTCTGGATCAAAGTTATCTTGTCAAGCAAGTGATGTTAAGAGTCTGGATGAGAGGTATTATCCTATACTTACAAGTATGGGCTAGTGTTTGACTGTTTGTAATTTGAATTGATTGGGGTGTGGTATAAGAAGGCTTGTCCAGTCCAATGTAACCACGTCCAACAGTCACACACTATCTCATATTTGTGTACATGCCTCTCATCAGGACACTGCACATCACTTGCTTGATAACAGTGTCAGAACCTGCACCCAAACGACACTCGTTATTGCAAAAAAGAAGTTGTTCATTCATATACATGTAGATCTATCTTATCAACACCATATACGTCAAATAGTATAAACGTTAATTGCCGAATACCAAGCAAGTGACTTATCAAAATTACCCATGCGACCCACAAAGATGGCTAAATTTCATTATTAATTCCAAGACAAAACTATATCTCGTTTTTGTTGTTCAATGTGACAATACGCCCTGCCAAGGCACCATCTCGCCCCGAAGGCGAAGCACTCAAGAATCGTCAGAGGTCAGAGCCCCTTTAAAATACAAACAATAACACAAAGCACACATCGCTAATGAGATATACATTAAATAAACATACCTAGCAAGCTCAGCGGCTTTCAGAAAGTCGTGAGAAGCAGAAAAATGAGTGATGAGGCCAAGAAGTCATGCATCCACTATCAACGAACTGCACAAGCTGGGCTCCGTCTACTCTATCGTATCATTAGAGCCGGTGCAGACACAATGGCTGTGAACGATTGACATAATGGCTCATGCTCCTCACAGCGATAGTTCGTTCGCGGAGCTCTCTATACTATGTTACCGAGAGTGTAACGAGGTGTCACGCGCTGGGAAGGAGCTTGATAATGGCTATGTTATGTGCGTTTCTATTGGTTGCTATTTTTAGATCACGACTCGACGTCTGCTGTCATTCGTCACACCCCTTTCCGTAACCTGCAAGAAGACTTGGTCACGAATTGTCTCACTCTTCTACCCAGAGTTCCATGCGACCGGCAGCCAGGCAGCATAGTACCTCTGCCACAGGTCAGCGCCACGTGACGATTCGTCACATCTTCCACAGTCCATTCAAGATATTGCATATGCTTTTCATGCGTTTCATGTTTGACAAGTCTACACATTTTCATAAACAAATGTCAAAGAATGTTTGCATTTCATTAAGAAAGTATCCTAATACGTGAAAATCGACTTGTTTTTGCGTAGTTATCCTATGTTTACATTGGTTGTACGGCTCCACGTGCTGTCATCGAAGCCCTACGGAGAGCTAGCGGTACGGTCACTTTGATGTATAAATATATATTGTCATGCAACTCACTGTCGCAGTTGTAGTAGCATATCTATATATGTAAAGCGCCCCTTAAATACTTGCATTAGTCCGTTCTATACTGATTTCTGAAAAAGCGCGTTTGTTTGCAAACAAGAGAAAAGTCCGGTCACGTGATATGCAAATTAGGCCGTGGCAGTGGTGTTGTGCTGAGTGCCCTTGAGTGTGGAATGGTCTGCTGTAGTTTACGTTTCGGCATTCGTGACCATCTCGTGTTATTCCGGGACATGCCGAATAGCGACTCGTACCCCTATCGATGAATGTTATGTGCGAAAATACGACAAACCAATCAGAATGATTTCAAGTTGTTCGTCAATGAATCCATCAGAAATAATTTTTGATTTTACATATATCTTGCATCTAAAAATATACCCAAGAAATGTATTTTTCATATAATGGGTAGGTTTCTCGGCAGGATAAAGCCAACGGATAAAGACGATATCTGATAGATATGCGGATAGAGATGCAAATATCAAAGACCAAGTAGGGACTACTTTCAGTGTTTACAAACATGGCGTCGCCCTTGTCATTCGGCGATCGAGTCAGAATTAACCATCGTGAATCTGGATAAACTAAAGGGATAATTGCTTTCATTATCAAAAGAACAGTCAAACATACTGAAAATCAGTGTCTAACTGTGATGTAGCTAAGGCATTTTATAACTTTTGGCAACTTTTGAGATATAAATTTCGAAACAATGGCAAACACCGGTACGAAACAGCGGCCCAGGGGGCGCTGCGGAATTTCCGTCCTTGTTGCTAGCTCCGTATGCTATTGTTTACATACAAAATGCCTTCGCGCTGTTGCGTACCGCAATGTGACAGTCGTTCTGACGGCCACGGTTTTCCTCAAGATCCGGATATTTGCATAAAATGGCGTGTGGCGATTAGAAGAGAGGATCCGGCATCCAAGAAATTATGGAAACCAAGTCCACACTCAGTGGTTTGTCGTAATCACTTCCTTGACAGCGACTACAAGCCATCGGACACTGGTAAGCGTCATTAGCAACGAAGTTAGTTACCGAATGAACGGACTGATGTTATTTTTGTCCTTTACCTCAGAATCTGGTATTGGTGACCTACCAAATGCAATACAATATTCAGTAATTTTGATATGTAAATCAATCATGAATATAGTGTATTAGTCACGGTATGTTTTTTTTTTATCTGGGTGCACAATATTGGGCTCACCCAAATATTGGCAGAAAAAAATTTAAATATGTCAGTCGTCCTCTGTGCCGCATTTTACTGAAATAAATAATATTTTTGGTCCTAATATTAATTATATGTATTGCTATGAAGGACTTTCAGTCAATTCTTTTTTACGTGTTTAATTAAATTTTACATAATTAGAATCTATTTAAATTATTCCCACCCTGAAGTTATGCCAGTCTTGAGTAGGCTTATATGCAAAAAAACTGTTGAAGTGGATGTTCTATCTATTTAGGAGTAGACCAAATATAGTTCTATTACTATTATAGAGTTCTATACTATTAAATGAAGTTATCTTAATAATAATAATATTATTTCATTACCGTAAATTTGTCCCAACTAAAATAAACACCTTTTTTAAAATTCTGCTCAATGTTTTGGAATAATTTGCTTATGTCCTCATTGCTAATATTTGTTCATGAATTTACCATGTTTATTGTTATTATGTGAACAATAACTAAATTCCTTATTACGATAAAACCTTAATTGACGATATTTTGAAATAATTCTATATATTTTATTTTCAGGAAAGAAAAGACGATTGAAGAGGGGTGCAATACCAACAGTGTTCTCCTTTAAGAAAGTGAATGAACCAAGGAAACCTAGACACTATGTTATAGATGTGGAAGATGTTCCTGATCTGGGAAGTGAGGTTGAAATTTGTTCACCAGGATGCGATGAAATTATTTGTCAGTCATATGCTGTTGATCATACAGAAGATGTGGCCATACAGTGCAGCTTGTTGTTTGAATCGAACTCCAGATTCTCGATTCATCACATAACTGATAATGACAAAGCAGTTTTGTATTACACTGGTTTTGACAATTATGATCATTTTATGTATTTCTTTCATGTACTTGGCCCCTCTGTCAATCATCTTTCATATCAGTGTTCTTTGATACCACCAGAAGATCAGCTTTTTATGACTTTGTTAAAATTCAGACAGGCAAGAGATGATTTTGACCTTTCCATGTTGTTTCATATCAGTGAAAGTACTGTATCAACATTAATTCTCACATGGACAAACTTTTTGTACTTCCAACTGACTGAGCTAAACATATGGGCATCACATGACACCGTTCAAGATACAATGCCAGAAAACTTCAAGGAGCGCTTCCCATCAACAAGGGTCATTCTAGATGCAACTGAGACCCCGATTTGTAAGCCAGGCAATGTAGATTACCAGAGGGCCACTTTCTCAAGGTACAAGAACAGGAACACTCTGAAAACTATGATTGGTTGTTCTCCTCAAGGTCTTGTTACCTATGTCAGTGACAGTTATGGTGGATCAACAAGTGACAGGCAGATTATTGAGAGGTCAGAGTTGTGCATGCCAGGTGTGTTTTGTGCAGGAGACAGTATTATGGCGGACAGAGGCATTATGGTGCAGGACATATTTTCATCTTCAGATGTAAAAGTCAACACTCCAACAATGCTCAAGGGTCGAAGTCAGCTTGAACCCCAAGAGGTAGTCCACGACCGCAGAGTATCATCCAAGAGAATTCATATTGAGCGTGTTATTGGACTTGGCAAAACTTACAAAATTCTTAAGAGGGAGCTTCATCCATCAAAAGTTCCACTAGGCTCTAGAATTGTTCGAATTTGCTATATGTTGTCAAACTTTCGCCCAAGCATTGTCAACCGACTTGCATGAACAAATGGCCATTCTAAACATACTTCACACATTCATGTATGTTTGTATGTCCTAGTGTGAGGTCTGTTCATAGCATTGAAAGTACAACAGTTTACTGCTAGTAGACAGGTGTGATTGTCTACTGTGACTGTATGGTGGGTATTAGACACGGCTCACTGCTGTATGATTACTGTTTACTCTGTTCCTTAATGATCTTGTTCAACTAATACAATCCGGAAACTGCAAAGGTATGTTTGTGAATGAGTTAGTTGATAAAATTAGAACATTGATGTTTGCTGATGGCATTGTGAATGCAAGTGACGCTATTGTCAAATTGCAGAAATCAGATGTAGCAAGCTTTTGTGGCAAATATGTTATGAATGTAAATTTAGATGAAACAATTATGATTGTATTTTGCAGAGGAGGACTTTTCAAACAAATGGAAAAATGGTGGTTCAAAGGTGAAATACTTTAAATTGTATCAGCATACAAGTGCTTGTGGATATTTGACACCCCAAAGTCTTAATGGGGTTTGGTTAGAAATACATTAGCACAACAACCTGTATAGCCATGAATATTTTGCTCACATTTATATATACTGCAAACATATCTTTAAGAGTTGTGTTTATTGTTGACAGAATGATTGTGCCAGTCATTGGTTATGGACCAGGTATGTGGGGTTATTCACAAGTTCAGACAGTTTAAGTGTACACATGAGATCATTGTCTGTTAACACAAGTACAGATAACGTGGTTGTTATAGTACAAGGATGTTTGTGGATTATGCACACAAAGTAAGCATATTTATGTAGAAATGTTTATAGATTGTGGATCAATTTTTAGCGACAAACATGTAACCGTACTTTGGGCTGAATTCTGAATGCAAACTTAAACTTGAAAGTACAACTGGAATGTGTGAGAAATGTTCAAATATAACAACTTTATTGTGTTTTAACAATTGAAATGATGAATATATGTACATAGCACTGTACCCATGAAGGGCCATGATATTACATACCGGGTAACGGTAATGAAAAAATACCATTGAATACATAATGAAAAAATACCATTGAATGTCTCACATTGTTGGTTGATCTGTGCTTAGGATCTCTCTCTCTTACCACTTTAACAATGAATGCAATAGTACAACACCATCACACGGTTGTCAGACAGACATTCAGTCATGTAATTTCCCTGCAAAGGAGCTCCACCACATTCCCAAGGTCAGTGTTCGAAATAGACATCAGTCCCTATACCCATAGATGACAGATTTGTTCAAAGATGTTTTACAAGCTGATAATTTCCTTGATAAATGTATCACCATCTATAACCACTGAGTCTCTGGGAACTCGGGTGTGATAGCAGTCATAGCTTCTGGATGACTGGTTGTATTTTGTAATTTTATATTGCAAGAGTATATCTCACTGCTTCAGCTAACATGTTTGGGCCTACAGTTTCTCCATTAGGCCTACCCCTTATTCCAATATACTTCAGGGTTACAAGTGATATAAAAGAATCAAACAGTGTCAAAAGCTTCAGAAAAGTACACAAAAAGACAGTAGTATATGCATATATATTGAACTGGTTGGGTCTGAATACAGTATCATGGTGTAACATTTATACTAAGTTTTCCTATAATAATTAGATCCACATCAAGTGCTTTTATGAGTTACCATGGTGTAATATTTATATATGCATTTTACCTGATGATAAGTATTACTTGCTAAACTATTATATGAAATGATATATAAATATTACACCATGGTAACTCATAAAAGCACTTGATGTGGATCTAATTATTATAGGATAACTTAGTATAAATGTTACACCATGATTTACACCATGATAACAGCCTGGGCCTTGTCAATTATGTTATAATCTTCATCAAACTGCTGTAGGCTACAGCTAAGAATAGAAGTAAGTACTTTACACATGGTGTCAATCAGGGATATACCTAGCGGTACTCATTTGTATCATTCTCATCACCAGATTTTAATAGTTGAAAAGAAGAAATTTATATTCCTTAACTGTGAAAAGTCACTGCTTTCAAATAATTTTTGAAAAGTGAGGCAAAAGTAAGTTTCAAAAGACTCTTAGTACTTTTTAGATACACAGTCTTCACATGGATGTATTAATCCCCAAAAGGATGTCTGTTCATGAATCTTAACAAATGCAGTGAGTAGCAATGTAAGGCTTGAGGAAAGACTCAAAGAATAATGACAGTCTGGGAATCAAACTTCCTGTACAGTATTCCTCATTGAGTGATATTTTCTGAACAAAGAAGTCTTTAAACGTACAAACAGCAAATAAGCAGTATTTTCGCTTTGATAGATACATCTGACCCTGCACTTGAAAGTAGTAATTATTGTTTTCTTTCAGTTGCATGAGGCCATTTCTCTCACAAAGATAAGGAAAGAGTTTCCCAGGAGCAATGACCTCATTTCTGGCACTGTAAGGACATTTAACCTCAACAATGGTGTTAGAATCAATGACACCGTCTGGTGTTGCTGCAAGGAAAGGGAGTTCAGAGTCGACAAACATTCCACAACTATGAACATGAACATTACAGGCTATTTCAAGTTTGGCAATAGCTTTGGGTTCCTGCTGTAACCCATGCCTCACAGAGTTACAAACAAGTTTTCTTCCAGAGACAATTTGTTCACATAATTTAGTTTTGTTTCTCCTTGTAGTACATTTGCAAATTGTCCCAAACTGAGATGCGGTAAGCCTCCATCTCCTCTCCTCATGCCACAAGCTACACTTGGCCTGCTTTCTTGTCTTTGACTCTAAGTCTGCAGCCTGGTCATCTGTAATCTGTCAAAGATAGACAGAATAAAAATAAATAAACAAAAACCTTATCAATAAAATTCTTGAAACTCCTTTACAAATCAGAACAAAACAATTCAATCAGATAACATGGCTAAAGCAGTTTAACCATATCGTATCTAGCTCCAAGGGACCAGAAGAAATCCATTTGCATGCAATTCAACCTAACCATCAACTACTACACTGCAACGTCTGAAGATATTGTGTCTTCTGCAGTAAGAAATGAACTAACCATGAAATGAATAATAGCAGGCATTTTTTTTAGAAAAAAGTGAATTATTTATTTGAATGCAATAAGCAGTAGCTATTGAAAGCCTAAAATATAATAACTTAATATAGTGATTTGTGAGAATGCATAAAACTCAGGATTGAAGATTTCTTCATTACGGAAAACATGAGTGTAAAATACCTTCAAGGCTCTCTCCACCCAGTATTCTGTGAAGGGCTTGTCCAAATAGTCATGATCTCTTACTGCAGATGACAGACTGGCTCTTTCAAACAGGTATCTGATCGTGATATCCTTAGATGCTGAAGAGCAGTAGTTGATGGTGATGTTTCGCACATGGTCCCTGTAAGATGCACTATTTCTGTATTTGCCGGTCTTGGGTCATCAAACATGGTTGGTCGCTTCGCCCCACACTTGAATGAGTCTGCTTTCTTCGGTGAATCTATTAAGAGGCAAAAAAAAAAAAGAGGAATAATTTTTTGGCTGAAAATATATTACTAATACTGGGACACTTCAGTATATAATATTTGAATGTAGAAACAGCAAATAAGCAGTATTTTCTCTTTGATAAATACAGGAAGTGAAATTGTCATAATTTCAGACAATTCATAATTTGGGGTATATGCCAAACCTGTCACGGGGGAAACAATTGAAAGGGTGATCACACACTGCAGAAATAGCTTGTGAGGCTTTTAAGTAGTTATGGCTAAGCTATACGAGCAATGCCCACTGAATACATTAGCAGAAAGATCAGTTTCATATGTCATGGAATAATTAATCACTCTGTATATTTAATTCTAATAAATATGAACATATAACCAAGGGGTACTTAATTTATTTTAATGTCTGCAGCTGAACAGAATATCTATTTTTTCAAACCATATAAAAATTTCCTCATTTTAAGAAAACAATTGACACAAAAAAACTTGATAATTAATTCATTCTAACATGCTGTATAAGCACTTTGAATACCAATATATTTACTACACAGTAAACATGGTAAGGTACCTGAATATTCCTTTTGTGGCCTGTGGAATGTCTGCAGTCTGTCTGTGCAGGATCGCCTCACAGCAATCACACCTGTAGACTTGAACTGTGACAACATGAGGAGGACGGAAGCGAGGTGTTTGCAGGTTCCATGGGGGCCTTTACCAGCTGGGCACTCACAGTGTGTGTTCACCACTTCACCACATTCTGCTATTATGATGCGAAGACTGTAGGATACCTAAGTCAAGGAAATCAAAACTTGTAATACAGAGTTATCTAAGTATCATCATGATAACATATAATGAATTATTCCTGCAAGTGACAATGTTTGGTATAACTGACACATTATTTACACAAAGGTGAAATATTTCTTATTACAGACCTAAATGTACAATCATGAATGGCAAAACTGTGAATGATTACTCACTAATTTAAAATCATTAATCACTGACAATTCAATATGTGGTTGAGAATGGAACTTATGACCAATCTGTTTCTAAGGTAACACACCTTTTTCTTCATAGCAGCACTGACTAGACCACTGAAGTAGGCATGGTGATGAATGACAACACTGCAAGCCAGGACATGATTGGATTCCAAAAGTTGATGTCCCTTCTCAATAGCCTTCAAATCTCCAGTCTGAAAGCAAATAATTTCATTTTGCTAATTTCAGTATCTCATTTATTCAAAAGATTTCTCATGTATGTTTCACAGGATATGTATTATCAAACACACCTGTTAATGTTAGTGTTACTATTGGTAATAATTTCAATAAATTTGAGTAACGCATAGAAATATATTGCACACTTACCTCTTCATTATCTACAGCTAACCGGTACCTAAAATACGCCTCGACATCCGAAGAGGCCAAGGGCGGTAAGCTGTCTTTGTGTAGTGGCATCAGTTGCTTGAAACCTGTGACTGGCCATGATTCAAATCGGATAGGCTCAGGTAACTTAATGTCATCTTCTGAGTGGCAGAAGTTATTATTTCTGTCATAGGACTCCAATCTGAAACAAATTTTACAATACACCTGTATATATTTGGAGAACATTTTTTTATTTTAAAATACTTTAAATTCAGTCGGGGTGGGGTGGGGTGGGGTGGGGGAAACCTATGAAGCTGACCTATGCATTGGATTACTATTAATAAAAATATTTTGTGCAACCAGACCCTTGGAACAGAAGTCATGTAAGAAGGTATTTCCATTTTCAAAGTACTGCAACTATATCTTAGATTTAGAATGAAAATGTCACAGGTCATGTCAAACCCCAGAAATAAGAACATTAGACAATGCCCAAAATAACTTGAATGAGGGTTATTTTGCCAGGACTGTAGATTGTAAAAATAACTTTACCCATGCAGTCTCATATGGTACTTGTGATACCTTAGCTGTGCTAGGAAATCCTAACTGAAGCTTTCTTCTCATTTTTTTCACTCGAGATATTAATTAAAGTATCAAAAGGTTAATATATACGGTACTATTTATTTTGATATATTTTAGTCTGATGCATTGAGTCAATGTATACACCACTGCCGGTATATGGTCTTTGCTTTTGCATACATGTAGGCCTAGTCACTATGGCCCCAGTTCATGCTCTGCAGACGACTGACATAGCATAATGGGTAAAATATATTTGAGCATGCTTTATTTACGATTACACCAACATGCACGGGTTTTCATTCAATAAAATGAAATTTGCACACCCCTGACGTTTCCTTTATCGATAACAACAATTTTCATTCAGTTCGGATTTCCCGCGGTAATCTCGAGTCGTACTAGTGGAACAAATCAAAGACTGTTCGAAGATTCAAAGCAAACTGACACAGAATTGGCAAGTCTATGGTACAATTACATACCTTTCAATCAAATCGATCTTCTTCCCGCGTGTAGTTGCTCCACGGCATCGCAACTCTGTCTTCAACTTCTCAACTGTCAGACCGCTGTTGTGCGACATGTTTACATTAGCAACACTTCCGGGACGGAAATTCCGACGCGCCACCTGGCGGATTAGTGTACCGGTGTTTGCCATTTTGCAAGGGCACTAGGCCCAGCCAAGCGGGATCAGTAGCCATATCTGTGCTTGTCGACCTCTGCGACTAGAAACCTTTTCCTCAAATTAAAATAGTTGGATTTGGCCGAAATATGTTTGAATGGTTACCTTGTTTCGTTTTGTCGCTCTGTGTGCATCTGACTGTACTTGACGTTATGACAGGACAGACCGACTGTCAACAACGTCTGAACGTAGCCGTGACGTCTCATAGATTAGGGTTAGAGTAGCTTCCCTTTGACAAAGGGCAGTTACTCTAGCGGACAGACCGATGGATTTCCGCGAAATGCAAGTAAAAAACAATTGTTGTTTTGCGTAAATGTTGCTTCGCCACTGCCAAGGCTCGCTAAATACAATGTTTATTCCTAATGTAGGATATTTACCATCCCCAAACACACTCGCTTGATAACCTCTATATATTTTCTTTTTAAATGTGTTCAATTTTACTGTATAATTCTGCACGTCCCAATGTGCTTTAAATTGCATCTGAAATATATATAATAAATGGGGAAATAATATGTGAACCATTGCTCAACGAGTTGACAATTATTTTAGGTATGCCCGTTTGCGCTAAAACGGAACCCGGTCGCAAAAATGACAATGAGAGGGGCACGAGTCTTCTTACAGGTTACGGAAAGGGGCGAGTGGTGACGAATGACGTTTCGGGCGAGATGTTCTCAACCCACTCGCTTTTTCTTCTCGTGCTGCATACACTCATTATCTTGTCCTTAACACTTTATAGGTTTAATGGCGAAAATTGAAGATATGTTTCAGAGAAGTTAATGCTCAATAATGTGCATTGAAAAGTAAGCTGACGACGTGCCTCGTAGGGAGAACCAGATAACGAACTGTATACTCCTCGTGTGTATGCACACTCCGGCGCGGGGCTGACTTGGCATCACTGTCCTTACCAGAGTTCCAAGCGCCAGCCAGACTGGTAGGCCTACCTCTGTCACAGGCCAGCGACATGTGACCATTCGTCACATATCACACACTCCATTCATGATATTGAATATGTTTTTCGTCTGTTTAATTTTTAACGAGTCTACACACAGGCTAATTTGCATATCACATTTATCGTGTTTGTAAACACACGCGTTTATATTCTGAAATCAGAGCAGGCTGGACAAATGGAAGCCTTTCAGCGCGTTTTGAATATTGTTTTGCGTAATTATATAGATATCGTACTACACCTGCAACAGTGAGGTGCATGGCAATATATAGATCTATATCGTTATCATCAAAAGTATCGCTGTCTCTCCAGAGGGCTTTGACGTCAGCACGTGCAGCCATACACGTAGGAAACCAATGTAAACAAAGGATAAACACGCAAATGGAAATAGTTATTCACGTCTCAGGATATATTCTCGGTGAAAGTTAACCGTCTTATTACATGTTTATCTAAGTGTAACTTTTACTGACCAATAACGAGTTCCTATGGGAATAGCTCTGAAAACAATCTCCAAAAGATTAACAACATTGCCAGTGTTTTATCAAAATTTAGAAACAAATGCTTTAGAACGTTTGCTCTGAAAAACACTGGCTCGATAACCAGGGAAGTTTGCTCTGCTGAAATCCCTTCTGATAAAAAACATGACATTATAACCAGGAAGGACTGTACTGTCCCTGGACCCGTGAAGATACGGGGTAGAATAGGTCTTGGTTGATATGCATGTCATCGATCCCAATAGCGTGGATCGATGCTCATGATATTGATCACTGGATTGTCTGGTCCAGACTCGATTAGTTACAGACCGCCGTCATATAGCTGCAATATTGCTGAGTGCGGCGTTAAACAACAAACCAACAACAACTGTCCCTGTCTTGTCTTCTGTAAATGCTGTCAACATCAAGCAAGGCGTGCCTGACGGTGACCTGAAAGCAAAATTGGACGTATCGCTGGACGGCGGGGACGGATGTTGTGCTCCCTCAACCGGTTGCGTACCGTTCTGCCACTAATTAGTCTCAACCCCCAAATTGTCAGAGCTGTTGATGTGGCAGTTTGCTATCGGTTCTGTAGATGCACCCACCGAGTATGGGTCTTGTTAACGTGACGTCACACGTGGACGAGTTACGAGTGTTGCCATGCTGTACATAACGGCTACAAAAGAGATGATATTGTGTTTCGATGAACATTAAAACGTTAGGCAACATCGTTTTGCGCCATTCCTGTTTGCATCATATCCACTGCGTGTAGGCATTTCTGGTTAAACAAGTGTATTTTTTTATGAGCGCCTGATAGCAAAACAATTATTGTGTTCTGTCCACATTATACAATAACGTGTATTAAATATAGAATACTAAACAAGCTCCCGTGTAATACCAATTTTATGAAACGAGTGAATAGTTCTGGTATCTGACGAGCGAAAGCGAGTCAGATACCATAACTATTCACGAGTTTCATAAAATCGGTTTTACACGGGAGCGAGTTTAGTATTTTATTTATTACTGGCCATTTATAACGTTTTTAGAATTATACTGTTGAGTGTGAATAGGCCGACACCTACACGGTCCACGGCATAATCCAACTGAGTTTAACACAGTAATACTTCAGTAATACTTCAAATACGTCAAAAGTTGAAACGTATGAATTTAATACCATCCAACGGTCCACCTTTAGAATTCAGGCGTCCGTTCCACAAAATTATCGTAGCGTTAAGGTTATCGCAACTCATATACTTTAACTTTGACCAACGACTGTCGTCGCGCTACCGTACGATCGCCTTGTGGGACGGGGCCTTGCACCTCAAAGTTTACAATCACGTCACAATACCCGATGACGTAATTTGTGGAATTTTGTTGCAAGATCCTTCGGCGAAACAATGCCATGTGACGTCAACCTAGCAACAAGGTTGCTGGGGTCATCCAGTGTGCATAAGCTCCTCTCAGTGATCTATCATCTCCACAAGCAATGTCGTTGAATAAGCCAAGGGATGTTGAGAGCTTTCAATATTTGTTCGTGAAACGTGTTCCGAGAGTACATAAGCACGCGTTTTGGTATTACACAATGTTTAATACAGCTGTATGTTTATTAAACGGGTGATCTCTTCACGGGCAAGTAATAAAGCTAATTCTACCATGAATTTGGAATATACTCGATTCTGATTGGTCAATCAGAGGCTATTAGATCACAATAAACCCCCTCTGATTAAAACAGCTGGTTTGACGGCCGCATCACCGCGGAAGCTAATATTCACAGAATAGTACTATTTTCAGTCTTTGTCGGTAGGCATATTTAAATAATTATATCTACAATTACAGGTTACAAAATGCACAGATGCGGTTTCTACAATATTCAAAGGATGTGTGGCAATACATTTCGTGCAGAAAAACACGACAGAAATCAACAAAGGGAATGTATTTACGTTTTGGAGACAACGGAGAGCTTGGAATTTTGGCGCTTTTCTATATACGACTGTGACGTCATATCTTTTGCGTCACAATGAGGCATATGACGTCATAATGATGACGCGCGACGTAGAGCGAAAGCCTTGCAAAGCTTGCTATGTTTTCTTTAGGGATGCCCGCCTCATGTTAGCTTACCAAGTTGCCGTGCTTATATGCTTTCTATGCCTGTCATATGTTCGAGTGAAGTATTACGGTGTAAACAAAATGCTTGAGTATATACAGCACCATATTTAGTTCGGTGATTCCGTAATTCAGATCGATAACCCACTCAAAACACTGAACTCAACCCATGCCGCTTCAATCAGTATATTTGCTAACACCAAGGAGTTCGCTAAATTTAACATTTGAAACCTCACGCTGCGCGTTCGGTTCCAAATTCAATTTAGCGGGGTTAAATCTACAGGTAACCTAGCTCTACATTGAAAACACAGTACGTTTATCTCCTAAATGGATATAATTATCATTAAACCGCCCGCATGTTATCAGAAATGAGCGGGCCACTGTAACTTGATAATGCCCTCATATTGCTGAACGACGGGCCATTATAGCGCCCGTTGTTAGGTGACGTCACGTTCAATAGTGACGTCATCTGGTTTGTTCTAAGACGTTTCGATATTTGTAAAAGTGGGTCAGTGACCTTTGTTTTGATTGCAGTAAATGTTTCAAACCCGATATTGTTGTTTCTTTTTATTTGATAAAAAATTCCACCCATTTAGCTATAAAAACGGTAACACTATTTTTCAGGGCATTATCATTTGGAGAAGCCCTCAGTGTTTTCCATGGGTACAATGTGTGAAGCCCATTTCTGGTGTCCCCCGCCGTGATATTGCTGGAATACATGTATTGCTAAAAGCGGCGTAAAATCAAACTCACTCACTCACTCAGTGTTTTCAACTGCCCTCCTTCATCGGGCAGTTATGGAAGACTTTGGGCTTCTGTAAATGATAATGCCCTGAAAAATAGTGTTACCCTTATATGAGTATCCTACTCCCAACAAACGCGCAAACATCGAAATTGTGCAACGAGCATTGACATGCACCTGCAATTTGTGAATCCTGAGCTTAAAGTTGCAGTGATGTCTTCATGAATATGTATTGAAAGATGTATTATTTAATTTCAGAATAAACTATATCTGAAGCACAGTTCCTTTTTTTCAATAAATGGGGACCAGCTGCATAAATTGGGACCAACTCTACTTGGAAATCCAAATGGTACTCGCCTCCACTGAAATAATCAACAAACGAAGAATTTACAGATTCACTTTACTGCACAATGAAAACAATGTACATACACAATATCAGTCGCAAAAACAACACAGCTCATATAACATGTACAAAAACAAAACTCTGATCACAAATAACCACAAACTAGGAAGTCAGCATGGACACCAGTGTCTGATAATGCTCATTAAACAGGAACTCAGTCATCTCCCAAAACCGTAGGGCACCAACTGATGATGAAACACTAAACAATTAGTGATTTATTTTTGCAATTTGCAAATCTCACCAACATGATCAATACTTATGTGCATACAAAACAAAACAGAAAAACAGGGATAAGAATAAAAAATATGGCATTTCAAGCATAAGAAACTGGTCAAATGATTGTCTGACTACAATTAGGATGAAGAATGGACAACCTCCTGCAGCATCACCTTGGTGGACAAAGTCACAACCCGTCTACCACCGTTCAGTCAGGCCTGGGCTCTGTAGGGGAGGGGGTGAATGGGGTTTAATATCAAGTTCAAGGTTATTGCACATATATAGTGATGTGCATGCATACATGTGTGTGCGCATGCATACGTGTGTGTGTGTGTGTGTGTGTGTGTGTGTGTGTGGCTGCTTGGTCCAGACTTATACTAGTTTATAGTGCTAACCCACTGAGTTACCATGCCGCAGTTCTAACATAGATACCCCACTCAGGATACTGACTCGAGCCAACAAATCCTTGTTGCATCCCATAAAGCCAAGCGCAAGACAGGGAAACAACAAGTACCATCTTTTAAATCTTTAAATATGACACTGCCAGGGATCAGACTACTGACTTCCTGCTCTCCAGGCAGATGCTCTTTTCAATAGACCGGGGAGGGGATCCTGGGCTCTGTACGTCACCTGGAAGTTTCACCTTGGTGGACACGGGACACACTTCGTACATGTCTATGATCCTTCAGTCAACCCCACACATGGATACCAGGGCTCTGTAACACACATAGCCCATAGCTGGGATTCCAGGTTAGAATAGCAACCTGTGCTGGTCATACCATGGGGAATCAGGGTTAGAAGAGGTCCCTAGAAAATATGCCGGTCGTGCCATGGGAATTCATGGTAAGAATAGGTTCCCAGCAAACTATGCGGGTCGCTAGAGGTGTCCAAGTGGATCAGATAGGCTCACTGACTTGGGTGTTTACGTGTCATCGTACCCCGACAACGTGGATCGTTCACACTATCAATCACTGGATTGTCTGGTCCAGAGTTGCCTTGGTGGACCAGGAAGTGTGGAAGACACAGATGACACATCTACAACCTTTGAACAGTGTTACTGTTACATTACAGCTTACATTACAGCTTACACTGGCTTTAGGGTGATAAGATACATATCTCAACCGGTGGTGACACAACATGCTAGATGAAAACTTGACATCATGAAATGAAACCTAACCTAACCTTATTTATAGAATTGAATTAAAAAATTAACTTGAAACTTGTACTGAGGCAGAAAACAACATTCTACAATCAATTTTCGTACAATGTTACATGTAACCTATAATCAAAATCACACAATTTCATTTATATCATAGAGTCATAAATGTGATCATACACTTTGATACAACATATGACAACAGTCAAGTCATGATTTGGCACATGGTACATGATACATGATGCATGTTATTCAGTGACAGTCAGGGTAGTCAATCACCATGGCGACTGAAATAAAATTATTCGGTATCCATGCAACAGTAACAATACTTCCTGACAACCCACATTCCGCATGGCAGTTCAAGATTTGTTTGTTAGTTGTTTAATGCCGTACACAATATTCCAGCTATATGACTGGTCTGGAAATAATCGAGTCTGGGCCAGACAAGCCAGTGATTGACATCATGAGCATTGATCTATACAGATAATTCGGATAAGATCATATGCATCAACCAAATCAGTGAGCCATAACTCCTGACCCTGTTAGTCGCCTCTTACGACAAGCACAGTTGCCTTTTACAGCAAGCATGTGTTGGTGAAGACCTATTCTAACCCGGACCTTCACGGGTAAGCAGTTCAAGATGAAGGGTATGATGTGCTTTGTATAGCATATGATGGACAAACTCCATGACTTCACATCAATTGGATCTTACGTCTTTTTGTTTTCTTTCTTTGTTGTTTAATGCTGCAAGATTCTAGCTATATGATGGCAGTCTGTAAATAACAAGTCTGGACCGGCTGAATCCAGTGATTGACATCATGATGTTGATACTAATACTAACCTGAACATTCATGTGAGTAGACCTTATCAGCCCTGTGACTCTGTGTTTTTTTTGTTTTCTAACACCACTGTCAGCACTGTTCCAGCTATGGACTAGTTTCACTGTCCATGCTGTCGGGTAGATGGCATGCAATCCACCTCGCCTGATCACCAGAGCTGAGCTGGTCAAGACAAATCCCTGGAGGCAGACAGTATTTTACTTTTACTCTCAATATGCTCGATCACCTCTTAAGCTAGTATAAATGCTTATTATATTTATAAAAGAAAGCGTGTTTAACACTCCTGCCCTCCTCTCTGAATCATATGTATTCTGTTTAGTGATAGGAATATCCCAGCCCCAAAACTAAATCTATATACAACAGTTCACATCAAGCCAAATACTGTAAAAATAATGAGACAATTCCCTAAACTTTGTAAAAACAGAAAGTGAGTGAGTGAGTGAGTGAGTGAGTGAGTTGGGTTTAACGCCGCTTTTAACAGTATTCCAGTTATATCACGGCGTGTCAGCTTAATGTGGGAGGAAAGCCCGAAGTGACATTTACCACTTCGGTGAAACCCACGAGCACGGGTATGGTGCTGACAAACCTAGAATCATAATTGGGGCGAACCGGGATTCGAACCCACAATCATAGGTTTCTGGCGTGCCCAAAGGAAGCAACTCTGCACAGCGATCAAAACAGAAAGAAATCTCTTGTGGATGTTTCTTGACTAAAAATAATCAATGGTAGTAAACACATCAAGCAATTAAGAACATTGTCAACATGGTCAAAATACAAAGAAAGCTCCTGTGGATATTTCTTTACCACAATTAACCAACAACAGCCTTCGAAATTCACTCTGTCTCCAAAATACTACCTTGTGGTGAGGACAAGTCAAACTTCAATGATGGTAGTCCTCAAAGATGAGTACCATTTGAGGGCTAAAATTCTGGACCAGTTCTCAACCCTTCAATTTGTCTACAAATTGGAAATGAATAAAACTGAAAATGTAAACAAAGCAAACATTTTTCTCTTGTTTAACCTGGACTAGCTACAAACTGAGGACTAATGAAATAAGGTTTGCACCAGTGCTCTGGACTATTCCTACCAACCCCAGAGCTCCAGATAACTTTTTGAGCAATTGAGTTTTTACCAATATTTCTTTACTCATCTAATCATCAATCTATTGAGGTTTTCCCCAAATTAGTGTGCATTTTAAGATTAAAAAAATATATGAAATAATGTTTTAGATGTATATAACAGTTCTAAATAAATAGGCTTGACCCAGAAAGTAAATTAGCTCGTAATAGTGTTTCAGAAATTAGCTCCTTTATACGCATGCTGAAAAAGCGTCATTGGGAATTTATGTGAGCTTTTTTTATACATTTGAGTTTTTCATTTAATGCATGCATTTCTATAAGCAAGTTAATTGAAAGTAATTGTGTTTTTAAGGTTGTTTTTGGTATTTTATGCAAATATGCTGCTTATCTGTAGCTCTGCAACCCCCTCCCCTAAATATTTGTTGGGCAAACAATAAATCATAATTACAAGTTAGATTTGGTTTCCATTGCTCAATGCCTGTTGTAAGCGCCAACTAAAATAGTAATCCTGTTATCAGGGCCACAAAGCGAACTTAGCTCTTTGACTGTCATTAGTCTATGTTAAAGTATGGGAGTTACAATCGTCTTAGCGCTTAGTTTGCTTTGTGGAATGGCGCCCAGGTCGGTGATGAGGCTGCATGGCATCATATCCAAACAGTGTGGAGTATTGATCATGTCATTAACAACTGGTTTGCCTATCCCTGACCTGATTATTACCAGGTGGCTAGGCGGTTATGACACAGATGGAATATCCCGGACTGCTGCAAAAAGCAACCAACAAAACACAGACTTTCAGTCATTAAATGTACTAAATCCTTAACAAAACCATACCCGTGCTCATGGGTTTCACCAAAGTGGTAAAGGTCGAGACCTGCATCACTACGGGCTTTCCCCCCACAGTCAGCTTACACGCCGTAATATAACAGCAATATTGTGAAAATTGGCGTTAAATGAAACACACTCACATAACGAAAACAATCATGATAATCCTCGAGCAAAAACACTTGAATAACATCCACATCACTTTTGTTGCCATGGTTACAATATGTATCTGTAATAAACATGATATCAAAATCAGTAATCACAACACGACACAAAGAGTAGATCATATGAAATCCACCACCTCCAAGTCTCTGATTACAGCCATAGCAAAGACATGGCTTGTTCTCATCCATTGACCAAATAGCATGATCAGCATTATTGAATGAAGTTGTGAAACACGCTGTGTGCACACTACTTACATTGTGTACCTGTTCCATTCCTCACATGGTTAAATACTGGATATTCCTCTCTGTTCGGTGATCATGTGACAAAGAACACACAATTGTTACAATTTCTGTCACACATAATCCAATGATCTAGATGTACCTGAAGTTCTGTATATCCAAGTGACATCTTGATAAGTCAAGTGGATTGTGATTGACCTAGCCAGGTAGCATGTCACTTGATTAGCAAGCTAGAATTGCTGGAGATTTTATGGACTTGAATATTGACATTTAGCCTCCTCTTTAGATTCCTTGTCATACAACGTAATCAATGTATGCATATTCCCTCCAGATTTATACAACATCTTCTGATGCAACAGTGGATGCCTCGTCTTCAGTTTAAAGTTCAGTGAATGTCTTGCTTTGATCCTTATCACTCCAGGGGCGAATCTGGCCCACCAAATGATCACCACATCCTGACCCTGCTAAGGGATGCAACTCTGGTAAGCGAATTGCATTACCTTCGACCTTTGGGTCCATGTTAAAGTGGGGCAGTTGGGTAGCCTAGTGGTTGATTGCTGGAATATTGCTAAAATATGTTAAAGTACTGTTTTCGCTGTTAATAGTGAGTCAGTATTGTTTTTCAACACTTTTAGCAATATTCCAGCAATATCACGCCGGGGGACACCAGAAATGGGCTTAACACATTGTACCCATGCCGAGCATTGAACCCAGGTCATCGGCGTGACGAAGGAATGCTTTAACCACTAGGCTACCCGACCACTGTAAATAGTGATCTGAGCACAACTGACAAAGGACCGTTATCGAAACCACAAACAAGTTAATTTATTATCAGAAATCGAGCAGACCAGAATATGAGCTAGTGTATGAAGTGACGAAGTCTATTCACTAGAAAGTAGGTCCCACAGACAGACCAAGGGTAGACACCACAAGCAGAGTTTGACATTTTTGGGGCAGATGCAGGAGAATTTTAATCTTGAACACCCTTAATTTCAACCTTTAACATCAAGATTATGACAAGGATTCCTCAATCTCATGAAAGGCAGATTATTCTCTCATACGATATCACTGTATGGAGATCTGCCATCCACTTCTCAGAAGGTCAGCCATTAGAATCTCCATCAGCCATTACATTGACCCCCTTGACTTTCATGCTAAACTTTCAAACATTGGTCCACAATATATATTTGACTAGTTGTTCATGATATGTCATTTTTCAATAAACTACCAGCCCTTATAACTTTTCACTAGATTTGACTCGCGGACTAGTTGCTGTCAGAGCCTGCTGACTAGCCAGACTGGCCTGGAAGTTCAGGTTTGAATGATCATAGAATGTTCGCAGTGGGTGAGTTTGGTTTCACTTTTATCAGCCCTCACGTTTAATAATATTGCTGTTATAAAGTGACATGCATGCACGTGGGTGCTTGTACTTAGTAGTCAGGACTAATAAAGGATTAATAATGCAAGCCCACTGCGATGGGCTGGGCAACAAGAACCATCTTTTAATGTCTTTTGGCATGATGTAGGTGGGTAGTGAACTAACGACCTTTAGCTCTCTGGGCAGATGCTCTATCCACTAGACCATGGAGCTCAACTGTGGAGGACATCCTCAGTAACGCAGGTCATGTCTCACTTGGAAACCCACAAGCATGAAATTACAAGACTGCACAGAATATTAGCGACTTGGACTTGGACCCGTATGACCCCAGCTATGTTGGGCACTCCATGGAACAGGCAGGTCAGTTTCTCTCTTCCTCAAAGTCAGGTTCTTTCTTGATTTGAATTACAGGAATAGGTGGTTCCCCTTCCGAAGGTGCTGCTATTGTTTCACGGAACCTCTTTTGAAAGTCCATGTCATCAGGTTTATTTGGGCAGGGGTTCTCCTCAAAACCATCAGGATTTACCTCAATTTTAGCTGGCAGGTCCTCTTGAAATTTGGATACAGAGCTGGAAGACACATCAACAATGAGCATCTGGGGATTGTCCTCTTGTTGGTGGTCCTCAAGCCCTTCCTCATTAGATTCGTCCTCCTCTTTGGCAATCTTATCCTCATCAAATGCTTCACTACCCTTGGAATCTTCTTTCAATGCTTGTTGGTTTTTAGCTTTCAACAATTCCATCTGTGGAAAGATAGGGATAGATTTGTATCTTGGGGGATTAACGAATAAGGGCCGGGGTACCTCACCTCCTATCTTATCCCGGTGTACTTTCATATGAGCATGGAGATTGCCAGCTGTTGTACAGGCCTTGCCACACAGGTGGCACTTGTGAGGACGTTCCCCTGTGTGAATACGAATGTGTGTCTTCATAGTGCACAAGTCAGCAAAACCTCTGGCACAGTATTCACAAATATAAGGTTTCTCGCCGGTATGAATACGCATGTGTCGTTTGAAATTAGCAGAACTAATAAAACCGCGGCCACACTGATCACACTGGTATTGCCGTTCGTCCCCATGAGTCTTCATATGGTTCTTGAGATTGTGGAAGTGTTTGAATGTTTTTCCACACTCTGTGCATACAAATGGTCTTTCCTCGCCAGCACATTCTAGCCAGGATTGATCTTGGCTCGGGATGATTCGAGGTCGCCCAGGTCGAGGGAGGTCATCAGTTGACCCTGTTGATTTCAACCTGCGGACCAAACGGTGGATTGTACTCCGAGACGTTTTCATTACTTTGGAAATCTCATACTGGGAGAGGCCTTTGTCCAGCATTTTCTTCACTTCCTCCCTCTGTTCTTTGGAGAGTCGAGGCATTGCAAGTCAGTCTCTTTCAACCGGTCTGTGGAGAAAAATAACTTAAGTATTAGATCCCTAAGCACGCTAAGTGAAATTCTAATGTTCAGTGTGTCAGTTTGGTCCAGTATTGACTCCCTTAATTATTTTTCTTAATTTTCACACTGATTTACTTAAGTAGTTTCAAGTGTTTAGGTTGATTTTTTCTCATAGTCCACGTTAATTTTTAAAAACAATTTTTTATAAGTTGCAACCATGAAAACAGTTGTTTTTTGTATGTGAATGTGAAATAGTAAATACCAAAAGCACAATAAATATATCAGTAAGAAAACTGGGCATGTTATCATTTGTTGAAGATCTGTATATTCTTTTTTATCTTAGAACTTTTCGTTTTTGTGATTATGTTAGTGTACTTCATATTTTTCTCATGCTTGAACTACCTTTCATTCATGAGGAATAGTGATGATGTCATTCTTAAGCCACCATCTGCGACAGTAGCAGCGATATGTTCACAATAAGTTCATCATACATAGACACTAAGGCAATATATCCTTATGGGTAAATATGAAATGAATAAGTTCAAAATAATGTGATGATGATAGTCATTCTAGCAGCAAGTCTTACATGCGCTAAAACTGATAACTTGCGGATGCATGTGAGCTCTGTGCATATGACCTAAAGCACACATTTGCCATCTGTTTCAGAGGTGGATCCAGGATTTTGAAAGGGGGCACATGTGGACATACTACATAATGTGGTTTTCAGTGTGATGTCATTCGACCTTACATCACATATTACGTCAACAATGCTGTCCGAATGACAGAAAAAATAACCTGGTACGTGAGAAGTGATATTTGCCCTAGTGTACATGCGATTTTTTAAAACTAACCCTAAGGGTAATAAATAGCTGTATTGTATGGTGTCATTGTCAAGAGCTAACGCTGCACACACACACACACACACACACACACACACACAGATGTTGCTTTTAATAAATGGCTACCTAAGTAAGAATCATTCCAATTAAGACACCTTGTGTGATCTTGTGTTAGTAACAACTTGTGGGTTGTGTATGCATCTGTAAGTCATGAAGGCGTCTACGGCCACTGCAATACCACTGACACTGGCTTAGCGCTAGCATTAATTAGGGTTAGACTTCGGCATAGATAGGCACCTCGTGCACAGTGTTTACGTGCTAGCGGACTATTTGTGGTATGTCGTGACCAAAATGGACAAACATGAATATTAAAGTCACCTTCTACAGTATGTCTGCTTGAAATATGGCTGCACACTGTTCAACGGTTTGAATGAAACTCGTACAAAACATTTACTTTCATCAAACGTCAGCAAACAATGTTAGTATTATGCTTACCATTGCACAAGGTACCTTATATCAGGTGTCAAGCCAGGGTTGGCTGGCTGGCAGTTTGACAGGTTCGTTTGACACTGCATAAAAGGGGAAGTAACTCTAAGTTTCGACTGTGGGTAGTTCTAAAACGTGGCTGTGAAGAAGAAAACGGAATGTGATTTCTAAACATTTCCCTGCAATAAACATTGGCATGCTGTTTAACGCGCATTGTTGATGTAACGTAAGAAAGCTATGTCATGTTTTCGTTCAACTTTTTAAAATAACTGTGGTCTTTCCAACGCATCTGCTTTGTGTATATAGATCGGTATATAACTGGTGTTACATATGTGTATAATATGCATATGCATAACCAATTAATCTGAAGGATTATATAAAGTAATGGCACCGATCATATGTTGGTATTTAGCCTGATCCGCAAATATGTAGATGCCAGTTAATATAAAGCAAGACCTACCTCTCTGGCGTCACTGTCAAGAGCTAAAAGCAGGGACCTGCACGTGGCGTTTGCCCCACAGATGATGCTTTTAATAATTGCATACCAAAACAACAACCATCCCAAGACACCAAAGTACAGTAAACTACGGTTATAACGAACACGCGTATAACGAACTGACGGATATAACGAACTTACTTTTTTGGTCCCGACTATTTGCTGTAGTTATGCTGTATATATGCTTATAACGAACTACGGTTATAACGAACTTAAATTAGTAGTCCCTTTGAGTTCGTTATAACCGTAGTTTACTGTAATATACGATATGTTTGTTCATAAGTTACGTGGATGAGATTGATTTTGTTTCTCTTCAGTAGAAAGAGGTTCTCACAAAATACTGAACATTTGAAACACGTACACAACGCATTTTCGTGAATAAAATAATAAAGGGCATTTAGCGAATTATTTCATTATACAGTAAACTACGGTTACAACGAACTCAAAGGGACCACTAACTTTAGTTTGTTATAACCGTAGTTCGTTATAAGCATATATACAGCATAACTGTAGCAAATAGTCGGGACATAAAAATCAGTTTGTTATATCCGCCAGTTCGTTATAAGCGTGTTCGTTATAAACGAACTTTACTGTATTCCAAAGGATTTCTTACTATGTTGTATCACAATTACAGAGACGAAACCTGCCAACGCCCACATATTTGTCAAGTGAGTAATATGGTTCAAACATGTACTAGTATTTAGGAACTGAAGTGTCAACAAATAGATAGCCTCCATAGTGGCCAGAGCGTTTTCCGGAGAGCGGAAGGTCAGTGGTTCGATCCCCTGTTAAAAAATGGTACTCGTCATTACCCTGTTTGGCGCTTGACTGGTCAACTCGAAGTCAGTATAATGTGTCTGAGTCGGGTTTCGATTCTAAACCGGTGCATGGTATCTTAGTGGCTAGCACTATAAGGCTGGACTAGTACACAGTTGATATGTCTGTCTGAAGAATTCCGCATTGTCTCCCTATAACGCTATGTTGCCAGCTCACAGAGGGCTGGCGTCAGGCTCTCCCCAAAAGTTGAAATTCTTAAATAAGACGTTGTCTATATAGCTAGCAGTGGCGGATCAAGGAGGGAGGTTCACACACGCACGCACGCACGCACGCACGCACGCACACAGACACACAAGCGGGCATTTACGTCGCTATACAAGTGCAGTATACCTTGAACGAAACGTTAAACCTCATTTCACCCAACCACAGCTGAATAATTAAGCTACACTGAATGTCTGTCTGTTTGTTTTTAACGCCACACTCAGCAATATTCAAGCAATATGACATGAACATCGATATCAACGCCCCAAAATGTAGTCACGAGGAATGGGATTTTGTATGGAGACTGGATGTTTTCAACTGCAGCTGTAGTGAGTGAGCGAGTGAGTGAGTGAGTGAGTGAGTGAGTATGGCTTTACGCCGCTTTTAGCAATATTCCAGCACCAGAAATGGGTTTCACACATTGTAAACTGCAGCTGTAACACCAGATGTGTTTCAGTTAAAACTATGAGCCTAATTATTCTTTAAAAACCAGTCTGAAGAATACGGGGCGGTCGGGTAGCCTAGTGGTTAAAGCGTTCGCTAGTCACGCCGAAGACCCGGGTTCGATTTCCGACATGGGTACATTGTGTGAAGCCCATTTCTGGTGTCCCCCGCCGTGATATTGCTGGAATATAAAAGCGGCGTAAAACCATACTCACTCACTGAAGAATAATTCTTTTTCAAGCGTTTTTTGGTACAATTACTTTTCGCTAAAATCCCAGACCAATTGGTAGGTCCCTAATTACAAGTAACAACACGGGAAGGAAAGTACAGGAATTTATTATCACAGACAAACTGGGATTTACAGAAGATTAAAAAAAGAAATAAACTGACAAAACAAAAACATTATCCAACAAATATAAATGAAATTACTGTGAAATATGTATTTTTCCACAGTACGTGTCGTATTTTCATAAAATACAAAATGCGCCAAGGTCTATTCTGCAATGTATGTACAAAAGGTGTTATATTTACAACTTTCTATACCTTTAGATACACATGGAATTACGTTCCGAGCACACAACGTATATACACAATTTTACAATAGTTGATAACTATACACAATCAGGGCAGAAGCAATTATTTGAATTTATATGTGAAGAAGGGCAAGGAGAGCGGTGACAAAAACACCAGATATAGACGCAGACATGCGCAGACTGTTGTTACAGTAGTCGGTGTTGCACGTGCAGCCGTAGACGTCAAGGCCGTTGTGTTGTGTGTCGCGGCACTCCACGGACGACTGTTGTGGCATACATCCTCGTGTGATCTCTACCATCTCGCCAACGTGAGCTGAAAGATGAGAATAGTTCGTTGATTGGTTGGTTGGTTGGTTTGTTGTTTAACGCCGCACTCAGCAATATTCCAGCTATATGACAGCGGTCTGTAAATAATCGAATCTGGATCAGACAATCCAGTGATTAATGTCATGAGCACCGATCCACGCAATTGGAATCGATCACATGCATAAACCAAGTCAGCGAGCCTGACCACCCGATCCCGTTAGTCGCCTTTTACGACAAGCATAGTCACCTTTTACGGCAAGCATGGGTTGCTGAAGACCTGTTCTACCCCGGAATCTTAGTTCGTTGGAAGTCAGTGAGTGGGGTTTGAACCGTATTCGAGTTATATCACGGCGTGTCAGCTTAATGTGGGAGGAAAGCCTGAAGTGATGCAGGTCTCAGACGTTTACCACCTCGGTGAAACCCATGTGCACGGGTGCTGACAAACATGAAACAAAAATTGGAGCGAACCGGGATTCGAACCTGCAATTGTAAGTTTCTGGCGTGACCAAGGGACACAACTCTGCCAGCGAATTGCGGCGCATTAGACGATTGTGCCACCCATGCTACCTGAACAATATAGCTTTTCCTATTTCGATACCAAAAAGGTAATTATTGTAACATCACGAGTGAGTGAGTTTGGTTTAACGCCACTGTAACAGCATGTCATTCATGTCACGGCGTGTCATGTGGTAGGCACGCAAGAGGTGAGGTGAGGTGAAATGGGGTTTAACGTCGCGTTCAAGATTATTGCACTTACATAGCGACGTGCATGTACGTGTGTGTGTTTGTGTGGCTGCTTGTACTAGTCCGGACTGATGCCGATTTATAGTGTTAGCTCACTGAGATACCATGCCGCAGTTTTACATGAATACCCCACTCAGACACAGTATACTGACTTCGAGCCGACCAGTCCTTGTTTTAGCCCCTTAATGCCGAGCGCCAGACAGGGTAACAACAAGTACCATCTTTTAACGTCTTTTGGTATGACGCGGTCGGGGATCGAACCCCGGACCTTCCGCTCTCTGGGCGGACGCTCTACCACTAGACCAAGGAGGCGGTCAGGCACGCAAGAAGTAACGCAGGTCGCAAAAGTTTACCAATTCGGTTAAACCGTTCCGCACAGGTATTGTGACAGACTAATAACCAATATCTGAGCAAATCTCGGAATCGAACCCACGATAAGCGGATCCTGGCACAGCTTAGATACGCTGCATAGCGAATTCGCTAATTAGTTTGTTTGTTTATTGTTTAACGCTGCACTCAATAAAATTTCATTTAAATGACGATGGACTGTAAATAATCGAGTCTGGACAAGAAAATACAGTGAATAACATCGTAGCATCGATCTACGCAATTGGGATACGATGACATGTATCAGCGAGTCTGAGCACCCGATCCCTTTAGTCGCCTCTTACGGCAAGCATGCGTTGCTGAACAGCAAATCTTACCTGATCTTCAAGGGCGTATTGTATATGTAGCCAGATCGACCAACCGACTACGATTAGTCAACGTCTGGTTCCCCTTTTCTACAGCTTTTTTTGGATCAGCTCCATTTCATTGGCGACATGTCCATATTTGAACGTATATTTTACGTATATTTCTTTTCATTTTTGGATTCAAATTTTATATATATATATATATATATATTTTTACGTATGTTTGTTTTGTTTGATGTACGTCTTCGAACGTGTTTTAAGATTCCGATGCAGCGCTTAACTGTTCATGTAAAATGTGCGGAATAGAAAGTTGCAACGATAATATTAGTATAACCAGTATAACAAATAACAAATAATTATACTTACTTGGACGCACACCACGGTACTTGACGCAACTTCCGGTACATTGCTGTGCGGCCGCTCGCGTCACACGGAAGTCATCAGCGCACCGGAAGTCATGCATACTTGAACAAGCATAACACTGAATGGCTTCTCCTGAAAAGTACCAATTCATAATTACAAAACATTGAAAACGGCTTTCAGTGATTGAGTGAGTGAGTTGGGTTTAACGCCGCTTTGAACAGTATTCCAGTTATATCACGGCGTGTCATCTTGATGTTGGAGGAAAGCCTGAAGTGATGCAGGTCTAAGACGTTTACCACTTCGGTGAAACCCACGAGCACGGATACGGTGCTGACAAATCTAGAAAGATAATCGGGGCGAACCGGGATTCGAACCCACAATCATAGGTTACTGGCGTGCCCAAGGGACGCAACTCTTCACAGCGAATTGATAAGTATCGAACAAACCTTCTTAGTTCTCACAGAACAAAAATATGAAAGATAAACTTCTAGTATTGCTTCTTCCTAAATAGTTGGTGGCGGTGGGGTAGCCCAGTGGTTTAAGCGACTTGCAACGCTCTAGACCTGGTTCGATTCCCAACATGAGCACAATGCATGAAGACCATTATAGCGCCCCAAACCCCACCCACATCCCCTTAGTATTACTTGAAGTGGTGTACATCCCTACGTACTCATCACTGTTGCATAATTATAAATGTATCTGATTAGACGAAATAAATGGAGTCTTAAATTCATTGAGCAAGGTTTCTATGTTAAAAGTATTCATAATTTATAAAATAAATCACCTGGTACTTTCTACATGTATTAAATAACGAACTGTGAGGAATGTCAAACAGTATACAGGGACAAAACAAGACATCAATATACACTGACGGGCAAAAGAGTATACACTTGAAAATTGGACTTGAACAAAAATTTGCAAACGTTATCAATACGTTACTAGTTTAAAAACAGGCCCCGAAACACGGCAACCTTAGATCTAAAACACATATATAATATCCGTATCAAATACATCCACATAACTATTTCTTTTTTGTTTTATTTTAGCCACCATCAAGCATGGATGTGTACTTCCTTTCGCACGGCAGCGTAGTTTGAAGAGCATTGTAAAGTAAACATATGGAGAGTTCACTCGTTTGCTAAGGAATAAACAGGTCCAAAAGACTTTTTATCCCACTGATCTAAAATAAAGGAAAAACGTTATAAAATACAAATGGCTTACAATTTTTCATTTCTTTACCAAATTTGTTATATAGCAGTTCAGTTGAGACAATACGTCTCCTAAAATATATTCTCCTTTACTTGCAAATTGGATTTGACCAAAAAATTACAAACCGTCAAGACGTTACTAGGCTCAAAACAGCTAATGAAACACTGTGAACTGAAGGTAAAAGCTCATCTATGACACCCATATCAAATTCATCACTATCGAATAACCATTTCGTGTTTAGGTAAGGATAAGATGTATGGATTAACAACTTCTTCATTACTATTAGGAGCGACGTTTCGGTGTAGGTTCCAACGCCGTTTTCAAGCAAGTGATGAACACTTCTTGTTTGTTTCATTTTTATCCACCATTAGTGTATACTTTCTTTTGCCCGGGAGTGTATTACACACCTGAAGCTCTTTTAGTGATAATCAACACTATACACACACTTACCTTGGTGTAAGCAAAGGAGACCCAATACAGCCAAAATAAACACTTGTGGTACAGCCATGATTGGTATCTCTGTCAGTATGTCAGTTCCCCGTGGTGTGGTTGTGTCCACATTCTCCAGGTGGGCAGTATTTATACACATACCAGGCCTGGTTCTGCATGACTTCACCCCCTGCCCCATCACGGAAGCGTGCGACACTACATCATCAACATATGTAATTAATTAACACGTACCTGACCAAAGTTGTCACGCCAGAGGCACATCGATTGATTAATGTTGGATTATTTGGTAATGAGACTTCGGATAACTGTCGCTTGCGGTGACGAGGGGACGGACCAGTCTGTCATGTTACAGGCATGCGGATTTTTTAAATGACTTATCAATTAGCCATTGGATGTTGCACGGGAAAGAATTGCAAAAAGCATGCAGGTAATGTTTTGCAATGCTTGGGATTTTGTGGAATACATTCACCAACGTTAATTTCATTCAATGTATTTATTAATACTGTACAGCAGGTGTGAGTCTTTGAACAATGTATATTTACCGCGGGTGTAACGAAATAGTGGATGTTTAATGAAAGACATGTCGCAAACTTTCGTCAGTATGATTGGACGATAGTGAGTGAGTTTGGTTTTACGCCGCTTTTAGCAATATTCCAGCATTATCACGGCGGGGGACACCAGAAATGGGCTTCACACATTGTACCCATGTCGGGAATCGAACCCGGGTCTTCCGCGTGACGAGCGAACGCTTTAACCACTAGGCTACCCGACCGCCCCTGGACGATAATGAGAACTGAAATATTGGGATGAATTGCTTTGGGGTGTTATTTCATCCCGTGTGTACTATCAGATACCCAGACATTGATTTAGTAACACACAAGTTTTGCTTCTAGTTGCTTGTTATTTAACGCCGCACTCCGCATTATCCGACAGCGTTCTATATGACAGCTGTCCAGTGAGTGACATCATGAGCATCGATCGATGCAATTAGGATAGGATAACGTGCATCAGCCAAGTCAGCAAGCCTGACCACCCCATCCCTTTAGTCGTCTTCACGACAAGCACAGTCGCCTTTTACGGCATACATAGGTTGCTGCAATCCAATTATACCCTGATCTGGGACCCGTTCCAAAAAGCGATCTTAGTGCTACGACTGTCGTAAGTCAGTGTTAAAGAATGGGAGTTACGACCGACTTAGCGCTAAGATAGCTTTGTGGAACGGGGCCACACAGAAGGTTCTAATATTTCACTCTGCACTTGATTTTATTGATGTCAAAAAAATCTTGAATGGTTAATTAACGTTCATCTGATATTACCTTTCCCCATGCTTCTTTTCCATCTATTGTTTTCAAGTGGCAGAAAATATATTTTGAAGCACCATAGGGTATAAACAATCATCTTTGTAATCAGTGAGAAGTAGCGACTTCAGTTGTCGGTTAGGTAACACAAGGAAGTCTGGCTATATTGACGACAAAAATACTTAAAATCACGCCTATCAGGTGATTTGATAATAACTGTTACTTCACGGCGACACGGGGAAACATAACCGGAATACTGTTAATTTGAAACGGCGTTAAACACAGCCCCCTCGCTCCCCTAATATTTAATTAACAAATCGTTTTAAGTCATTGTTCACTTCGCTTATTAATTAGAATACAAGAAGAGTTTAAACACACCCGAAGGGAATTCAGAAGACATGAGATCGAGGCTGCTCTAGGGCTTACGTTCCTACGAAACCACAAACTATTTGAAGAATTGTCAAGAATGTGTATAATTCTGGTAATTCAAGTTTCTCTCTTGTGACTCAAATATGCTGCCATTTCAAATCACGTCCCGATCTTTGAAGTTACAGACCGCATATTTTAGAAAATTGTAATACAGTGTCTCGATGCTTTGGATGTTTGCCCAGATGACGGTCCACGTGTCAGATGGAAATAGTTTGGAATATGTTGTTTAGTCGTTTTTCTGGACACTCTTCATTTTCCCCGGATAAACGAGGTTAAACAGAAGTTCCCAGATCCGACCACAGCTGCAGCCTCCCTTCCGCTGGGGGAACTGAAAGGAAGAAGATTTTATTACGCTTCTAACGATTGCTAATCCTGATACATTGAGAACACGAGTGAACAATCCACCAAATTACTCCTTCACTATACACAAAGAGAAGATGTCATATATTTTCTTCTTCAAAACAATAAAAACCATCTGCATTTGTTGATAGTGGCTTAAGCAGGCTCCACTATTGATTCTGTAGTTTAATGGGTGTGTTTATGTTTAACAGGGAAAGTTACTGTAATTCGTAATTCGAATGTAATCTCTGGGTTGAAAACATGTCATATTGAAGAGAGAGGGTAATACTTGTTATTTTAATTCAATTTTGATTGTCTCAATATACATGATTTACCTAACGTGTAAGATTTCTAACTGTACACGGGTCAGGGGGAGACATCAGCTTGTTTTATGTACGAGATAGGTAAACATAAACATATATTAAATATAGTTCGCCCTAATGGCATTATAACCATTATTACTTGCCCGTGAAGAGATCACCTGTTTAATAAACATACAGCTTTATTACACATTGTGTAATACCAAAACGCTTGCTTATGTACTCTCGGAACACGTTTCACGAACAAATATTGAAAGCTCTCAACATCCCTTGGCGTATTCAACGACATTGTGTTTTGGAGATGATAGATCACTGGGAGGAGCTTATGCACACTCGATGACCCCAGCAACCTTGTTGCTAGGCTGACGTCACATGGCATTGTTTCGCCGATGGATCTTGCAACAAAATTCCACAAATTACGTCATCGGGTATTGTGACGTGATTGTAAACTTTGAGGTGCAAGGCCCCGTTCCACAAGGCGATCGTACTCTAGCGCAACGACAGTCGTTAGTCTAAGTTAAATTATGTGAGTTGTGATAGCCTTAGCACTACGATCATTTTGTGGGACGAACGCCTGAATTCTAAAGGAGGACCAATGTATGATATTAAATTCATACGTTTCAACTTTTGACGTGTTTGAAGTATTATTCTGTTAAACTCAATTGGATTATGCCATGGATCGTGTAGGTGTCAGCCTATTTACACTCAACAGTATAATTCTAAAAACATTATAAATGACAAGTAATAAATAAAATACTAAACTCGCTCTCGTGTAAAACCAATTTTATGAAACTCGTGAATAATTGTGGTATCTGACTCGCTTTCGCTCGTCAGATACCAGAACTATTCACTCGTTTCATAAAATTGGTATTACACGGGAGCTCGTTTAGTATTCTATATTTACAAATCATTACAAAGTGAAACTCATCCTCATCTGGGTTATAGTTACATAATTCACACACTCGCAGTTCTCTTGGTCGTCGTATCATCCTGTTTCTATGTTTAATTGGTGGAAACTACATCTAAAACGAGCCAGGTCTACAGTACATTTTGAGTGAGTGAGTTGAGTTTACCAGTGTTCCAGTTATACCGTGGCGTGTCAGCTTTATGTGGGAGGAAAGCCCGAAGTAATGCAGGTCTCAGACGTTTACCATTTCGGTGAAAACCCACGAGCAAGGGTATGGTGCTGACAAACCTATAAACATAATCGGGGCGAACCGGGATTCAAACACACAACCATAGGTTTCTGGCGTGCTCAAGGGACGCAACTCTGCACAGCGAATCGCGGCGCCTTAGACGACTGGGCCACCCGTGCCCCCAGTAAATTTTGAAACAGTTATAACTTTAAGATAAACCTCCAAGCAAAGGGATAGTCTATAAAGGGTATAAGTGCTGGTTAGGGTGCCCAGGTTCACATCGTGTCATTCTTGCTCGTATATACACGGCACGAAATGCAGCTAATGCTATAAAAGCTGAAGTATCATGTACGCATTGTTTCGTATATTATAACACGGGGCTATATGAGATTGCTTTGTGAAGAGTCAATGGGACGTGGTGGGTTTGGTCGAGATATTTGAGAGTATACTTGCTGTAGTCATAGCGGCCAGAGTAATTGATTATGTTTAGCACCACTCATATGCGGTCTTTTCTATTGGTTTGTTTGTTTGTTGTTTAACGCCGCAATATTACAGCTATTTGACAGCGGTCTGTAAAAAATTGACATGCATCAACCAAGTCAGCGAGCCTGACTACCCGATCCCTTTAGTCGCCTCTTACGACAATCATAGTCACCTTTTACGGCAAGCACGGGTTCGTTTTTATTGGGAACAATTCCGAATTCTCAAACCATAAATATGTGCACACCCAGTTTAAGTCATGTATTGAAAGGTCAACAAAGTAACTGTGGAAGTGGAAAGAAAAGAGGATTGAAAGTTTTATGGAACGTATGACAGATGCTTATACAATAGAGGGGCGGTCGGGTAGCCTAGTGGTTAAAGCGTTCGCTCGTCACGCCGAAAACCCGGGTTCGATTCCCGACATGGGTACAATGTGTGAAGCCCCTTTCTGGTGTCCCCCGCCGTGATATTGCTGGAATATTGCTAAAAGCGGCGTAAAACCATACTCACTCACTCACTTATACAACAGAGGCTCCAGCAACAATCAATGGTCTGCTTGATGGGAAAGATGTAAACTGTAGCCATATCGATAATTGTGTCATGTCAATCACGGATATTGAAGCGTGCGGGAAATGAACTTTGCTTTGAGCATGGTGCACGTGCTAATCGACGCCAGGATCACGGCTGCTTTGATAAGGATGGTCAAATATTGAGGGCAGATTTCAAGAGGGCTGAAAGTTGATTTAGGTGTTCAGATAATGACAGTGATTGTCGTATTATGGTTACATGTAGGTCTGCATACAGGAAGTGTTGACAATAAGGACAAAAAAAAAGAAGAGAGATCAAAGACGCCGATGAGTTGTCACAAATAAATAAAAGTGTTGTGGAGCGTTTTTGGTTGTTTGTTGTTTAACGCCGCACTAATCGAGTCTGGACCAGACAATTCAGTGATTGATATCATGAGCATCGATCTACGTACTTGGGATATGATGACATGAATCAACCAAGTGAGCGAGCCTGACCACCTGATCTTGTCAGTCGCCTATTACGACAAGCATGGGTTGCTGAAGACCTTTTCTATCCCAGATCTTCACGGTTTTTGGGAAGGTTGTTCA